GGCCCCCCTGGAAAGACCTCTCCCCCCCTTTGGAGGGGCCCCCCTGGAAAGACCCCCCCTTTGTAAAGGCCCCCCCTGGAAAGAATCCCATGCCCCTCCTTCGAAGCCCTCCCATCCCCTCCTGGACTGCCCCTCTTTGGATGGCCCCCATGGATGGGGCCATTGCAGGTGCCATGGAAGGGCCCTCGCCAGTTGGAGGGATGCGTCTCCGCCAGTAGCGACCCCTACCTCCTCATCCCCCCTCGCCCATCGATCCCCCGCCACCCCGTCGAGCGCCCTCTTCTTCCTGAGCCTCCCATGTGCTGGCCTCACACATTTGGGTCTGTCCGATGTGGATGTCTGACCCCCGTCCCCTTACTCTAAGCGGTCTCACCGCTTCGCGAATGTGTGTTGCAAGGTGCTTGCCACTCCGCCATCTGGCCATGCTGGTGAACTCGTCGATCGCCTCCTTGTCCTCCGCCTCATCCCCTCCGTCGCCTGCCCCTCCTCGATGGCGATGGGCGCGGGCCCCGAGTGTCCGCGCTGCACATCGCACCCGCAAGACCGCGCGCACGATGTTGGGCAGGATTCGATCACCAGGTGCCCACCCCAACCCCCCTAGGGTTACGCCCTGCCCCCCTCCCCAATCGCGATCGTGTCGCTGGCGGGGAATGTCGCCGTGCAGGTCGGACGCGTGAGATGACGCGTTGGTGATGGGTGGTGTTCGCAATGCGATCGATTGAGTGGCGAGGGGGGCGGAGGGTGGCCAGGCCAGTTCGAGTCGACGTCAGCCGTGGCATCGCGGGCCACCCCCCAAGTCTGACAGAGCATCTGCAAGGGGGTGGCTATAAGACCTGCCCCCCCCCTCCCCCCATCCCCCGACATGCTCTCTTACGCCTCCTCCCCCGCACATCCTCCATCCTCCTCTTCCTCCTGCTCGGCCCCTTTCTCGCCCCACCTCCCGTTGAGAACGACGACGAGAATCACGCCAGGGTGTGCATTCTCTGGCAGTTCGTCGCTCGCAGCTTGCAGGCCCGGACCGTTTCTGCATTTTGCGTCGCGTCCTCTTGGCGCTGCTGAGGCCGCATCGCCGCGCCCGTGGGCCATGGTGAAGGGGCATGCCACTCGTCGGGCCCACCCCGCCGCCGCTGGTGGTGTCCGGAAGGGCCGCCTCAATGCGAGACCATTAAAACGTTGCACCGCTTCACCTTGCCCAATCTACGCGGCTGACCTGGGCATGTAGACGTCTTATAATGCCCCCCTCACACCACGCGCGCACGCACGCACGCACGCGCGCACGCACACACACACAGCCCTTCTACATACACAATGTTCAATATGCCCTCCCTCATCTTCCTTTTCAAGCCGATTCGAGCTCCACTTGCCCCTCTCCCTCCTCCCCTCCCCCCCCTGCTCGCCTCCTCCACCTCCCGCTCCCGCGGCCTCTCGCCCCTCGCCACGAGTCCCCAGTATGTCGCCGACCCGCCCCCCTGGGTCTCGTCTCCGTCTCCCGCCCTGTTGGCGCTCATGCCTGCTCCGTCCATGCCTTTCCCTCTTGCCCAGGCCGCACCGGCTGGCGCTGCTGCCCGGGATCCACTTGCCAGTCCTGCAATATCAATTCGTGCAGAGTTTGCGGGTATGGTCATGTCAGGAGAGAAGACGTATGAATTGCGTAATTGGGTTTGGAAGCCCAAGCCAAAGTACGTTGTGGACGGCGTCACTCCTCTAACCATCATCGAGACCGACCGTGGGAGAGGCAATCATCCGCGGGAGTTTGGCGTGGTTGACTTCACGGGGTGCGTGTACATTCCTGAGGATCAAATCGCCGCCACGATGGATAGACACCGTGTCCCCGTCGATCGAGTCCTTCGCATGATGTCCAAGTGGAAACGCAAGGAGCTATGGGCTTGGACGTTCATCAACCCGCGCCCCCTCGATCGGCCGATGCATGTCAAGCCGTCGTGTGCAGAAGGGATCAGGTACCTCCATCCAGCCGATCGTTTGGGGCCCCACAACGTGTTGAACTTCGGGGGGAGACAATGCCCTGCCATTTCCCATGCCACTGGCGACGAATGCGACCACGACTCCGACGACGCCGCCAACCTCTCGGACGATCCGACTCTGGCGGCACCTCCAGCGACGGCGAGGGAGGTGGCGGCGATGTCGGTGGAACAGGTGGCCCACGACCAGCACTTTGACGACGGCGCCCAGACTACTACGGAAGTGACGGCCGCAGTGACTCCACGGGTGCCTATGGACATCGACGCCCACCACCATCATGGCGATGCCTCCGTAGATGTTGAGGATGCGATGATGCCAGAGGCGTTGGTCCAGCAACATCGCCACGAAGGTTCCCATGGCCCACGTCCAGGTGCATCTCAGGATACTTGTCTGGCCATCGTCGCGTGCGATCATCCGCCTGCCGGCCCGCTGGCCGCCGAGCCTGACTGTGACAGCGGCGCCGACGCTCAGCTCCTCGAAGCGATGGCGGCCGAGCTTTGGATGGATGCGACAGGTGATAGTGGTGCTAGTCTGGCGGCGGGGCGCGGGCACGCACCCCTGGCCGAGCTTGCGGCGGCGCCTCCATCGCAAGCACCACCGCTTGCGGATGGCGGCGGCTTGGCTGGCTATGATTCACAAGGTTCGATGTTTGTCTTCTGGCTATGGGAGTGGAGGGTGATGAGTGATGATGAGATCGGCAGCGGTGGATGAGGGAGACGTGGCGACGAGGATGCATGGGAGGCGAAACGTGAGATGGGAGTAGGACGGTGACCAGTGATAGGGGAATGTGTCAGGGCGAGGTGGGTTAGACCAGATCCCGGGGGTGCATGCTGCGCAGCTGCGGCCACTTTGTCGCCCCCAGATCACTCGACAACACGTTCCCTCAAGGAGGTGTCCGAGTGGCCACTGTGGCACGTCATGCGTGTCGCGAATGACAAGCGGGAGACGCACTTCCCCGATTCGTCCTGCAGTGCCGACGCGCTCTACTCATTGAGACAGGTCGGTTTGGGTCAATCGCACCAACACAAGCGGTCCAGGTCCAGGCTGATCTGTGAGCATGTTTCGGCTTCCGCTCTGGACCCCCTCCCCCCAGGTCATCGAGAACGACGCCCTCAGCACTGCTTTTTCTGGCATTGACGCTCCAGGCACGGCGTACTCGTTGATGGGGCAGGCAGTTGCGGACCTCATCAAGGCAAAATGTGGAGAGTCTATTCCTGTGCCTCGCGCCTCCCACATCCACGCCATAGAGTACGATGCTGCCTGTAAGGCCGAGCTGATGGCGGCCCCCCATGGACCGCAATGCCTGTTCAGCAATATCGTGGAATTCGGAGCTGATGCGATCCAGCCCTGGCTCTTAAGCGTTGGGAAGGCTGCAAGGCATAACTCCAAGAACAGCAAGACGAACCAGAATGCCGCCGTGGGAGGAGTCGGCGTCTACGACGCTCTGTGTCCAACGGTGCTCGCCGGCTTTGCTGTGAAGAATGCGGCGCACTGCTGCGTTCACGGTCGCACGTGTTTCCTCAAGTCCGCACACGCCCATATCGCAGGAACGCCGTGTACTGATGAATCCAAAATGGGACACCAGATGGGAGGATTGGACGGCAATACCACCTTATATTTTCTGATCTGGGTTGGGTTGCGCATTCGCTTGCAAGAACCCGTGATTGTGCAGGAGAATGTCAAGGGCTTCTCCACCGGATTTCTCACGCACCTCTTGGGCAAATGGTACGATGTGGAAGATGTTGTTTTACAGAGTACGAGCTATGGTTTCCCTGCGATGCGCACAAGGAAATTTGTGGTGCTGACGCACAAGTTCAAAGTTGCTGCTACGAGGTGTTCTTTGACGAGCTTCACACGTGCGCTGGAACGGACAACCAGCCTAACATGGAAAGCGTTCTTCGTGGATGACGCCGACTCGTTGAAGGATGAGCTGAGGTGGGCCCTTGCTAGGAAGCTCAAGCAAGACCGAAATCTGTCCAAGAGTGAGCAAGCGGCCGAACTCGACGTTGCGATGGCACGGTTCGACGCTGGTGCCTCCGAAACGTTCGAGAAGCTCCTCTTGGCGTTCGAGGTGGGGACGCTGTCGGAGTACCGTGCTCGCTACGGGGGCAAGCCCTGGTCGTTGCACCAGAATCCTGCGACAGGCGTCGGGTGGGACAACACCACTCCCTCTTTTCCCCGCTCTGTGACGCTGGTCCGTCCTCCTCCAGATTCCCCCTCTCTGTATAATGTCTTTTCTCTCCTACCCGCCCCCCCTTTGTCTCCTCGGCTCTCCGACGGCCAATGCCGTAGTCCATGCCTCCAGGCTGCTGGCGCCGACGCTCCCCAGCTCTTCGAGCTCTCCGAAGCTCGCGCAGTTTCGCCAGAGGAACAGACGCGCGATCCTCAGAGGGCTCGCGTGGCTGATCATGAGAACGGAACATGGACGGACTCCCGAAGAGGTTAACCCGCCCCCTGACTCCTCCCATCTTCCTCCCCATTCTATGCCAGAACGGCCACCCTCGCTCTCATCTGGGCCCGCCCCCACGCCCAACCGTTGCACCTCGAACCCCCCCTCCCCCACCGCTTCCCCTCCCGTCATCCTCGGCACATCCAAACGGTGTCCACCTCGCCCACCTCCCCCGGTGAATTTCTTGGCTGGGCAAGCAAGGCCGCAGTCATGCGGGATCGCGAACGGCGCTGCCGTGCCTGATCAGAAATTCCAGCCTGATCTGGGGCGACGACGTGGCAGGTGGCATGAACAGGTGGTTGACTCCGCGGGAGCTTCTGGCATCGCAAGGCTTCCCGACGTTCGCGTGGATGTACGGCGCGGACCAGTGCAGCTTCCTCCAGCCGAGGACTCAATGGGTACGACACCGAGCACGAACCGCGCCGGTTCGCCCCTCCCCCTCCCGACCCCTAAGATGTCTCACGGCGCTTTTTTTGGTCAGCGGCTCCTTCCGAGGCAAAACGAGGCCCCCCAGAGGGCCAGAACCCCGGCAATGCGTTGTCGCCCAGGAACCCCCCTCGAGCGCGTGCTGAGATGGTTAAGCAGGCGGGGAACACGATGAATGTGTGCGTCATGGGCGCTGTCATCATGTTCAGGTGGGCTTCCTGGAACACTCGGTGCAACCTGGCCCCATCCATCGGTTTGCTGGGGGATCCTTGGGGGTTCGACGGCGAATTGCCGACTTCGGCGCGCGCTGCGCGCACTGCTCTCGGAGATCCGCGCGAATGTCCTGGATCGGCGCTGGGCCACGCCTTGGCTCATCGGGCGGCGCCGCCGGCGCCGCCCCCGGCGCGCCCCGCGCGCCAGGGATGGGGGGCCAAGCGCCGATCCGAGACATCCGAGCGAACCTCTCAACGACTCATTGTCGATATGATATGTGCGACGCATGTGCGAGCGTTAGACCCGGCGCCCCAGCCAGGTGGTGCGTGCTCAGGTTGACCCATGCCGCGCAGTTCTTTTCATTGGTAGCACGGCCTCTGAACATCAGCCACCAAATGCCGAAGACCCCGCTTGTCCTCGACGTCGCGGTGATCGAGATTAGCGACGGGGAGGAGGGCAACGACGGTGCGGCCGGTGAGGAGGCGGCGGCTGAGGTTGAGGACTCATGCGGCAGTGAGTCCAGTGACTGAGCAGGCGGCCGCAGAACTCCGGGCCACATTTTTGTCGTGTTGCGTGGCTCGCCGATTTGAATGGGAGATATCAGCCCAACCCATCCGCGCGAGGTCGTGCAACTGTTTTCCGGTCTGCCATTTGCTGTGCATATTCCCATGTCTGCACTGCGTCAGACCCCCAGCGTTTACAGTGCTGGGCGCACCGAATTCAATCCATTCGGCACGGTCACCCCATGTGTTGTAGTTCTCTCATGCTTCTGGTGTCGCTGAGAGCAGCTACCCGGCGTCGGCGTCCTAGACGCCTTTTGGGGCGCGGTGCGCGGGTGTGCGATGCTGGGTTCGGATTGCGGGCCATCTTTTGGATTGCGGTTGCCCGCTCCGCCGCTCAACCGCTACATCCCCCGATTTGTCGCGCGCGGGCAAGCCGCGTACTATTCGAGCTGCTCCCGTTCTAAATTGCCATCGTGGGGCGGGCAACTGCAGGAGGAGCTAGCGATTGCACCCAGCTTGTTACCGAGTAGCGAAACAACGTGAGTTTAGTTTCTGCTCATCCAACCTTTCCTCTCCCCCTTCCTCCTCCTCGGCAAGGCACTCCGCATCCGACGCTGCTCGAGGTGGTTAGCAAGCGCCCCGCCCCCCGCGCCCCTGGCCCAGCCCATTGGCGGCGCATATGTTTAGCTCGGCCACGACGGTCGATGATGGCCAGCCGCCAGAGGCCGGCCTCCGCCTTCTCTTCCTTGGCCTGCTCCTCTTCTCCGTCTTCTCCCGCTCTCCGCCCCCCCCTCCCTCCCCCCCCCTCTTTCAGGCGCCGCCTTCCACTGGGCCTTCCGATCGGTCCGATGGGTTTGTGGACGCTCAGAAGATGATGGCGTTCAAGGAAGCGCTGCTCCTCGACTCCTTCCCCCTCTCCATCCTCCTCCTCCCTCCTCCTCCTCCTCCTCCTCCTCCTCCTCCTCCTCATCCTCCTCCTCTTGCCTCCTCCTCTTGCCTCCTGCTCCGCCCCCCCCCCATCCCTGCGTGGGCCGCGGCCCCCTTCCATGCCGCGTGGGAGAATCCTCCTCGCCACTTCGTTGCGCCTGGCCGCTGTCCTCGCTTCGGTCCCAGCCCGTGCCAGGAGATTGCAGATGAGATCCACCTGACGTTGTGCTCGATGGCGGAGCTGCACAGCGATGCGAAGGGGGGGCCCTGCACCGAGGTCGAGAGTAAGCAGATCCAGGAGACGGTCTCTCAGCTCAGGGCCATCGAGACCACGTTCGCCTCCTTGGCGCAGAATCGCGCAACCAAGGCCGCCGCGAGCCATGTGCGATGGGAGTCGAAAGCCAGGCTTTCGACTCCCATCGCAAAGCGGAGGCCTCGGGCTTTGGGAAAGCCCGAGGACTCCACAGAGTCCGAGCGGCCAGATCTGAGCTGACGGCCCGCGTCGGCGGATGAGGAAGGAGGAGGGGGGGGGCGAGACAGGGGAAGGTGGGTTACCGGACGTTCACCTCGGAACAGCACGACCGCAGAGTCTACCTCTACCACGGAGCTGGAGCTTGAAATAATGGCGAGATGTGGCAGGATGGTGATCATGATCATGATGCAGAGGGAAATATGATCACATGTATGTTGGCGAGGAGGAGAGCAGTCAGTCCCCGTTTCATCCTGTTCTCTTCCATCCCCTTCGCTCTTCGCTTACCCTGATCCCGATCCCTTGTCCCTCCTTCGCTCGTTTCCTCGCCCTGTGCCTGTGTCATGCCTCCTGCTCCGCGCCACCCACCCAACCATTCTCATCCCCGCCGCGCGTCCCGATTGAGACAAGTGGAGTCCAGTGGAGTTCAGATGGGATGCGTCACACTTGGGGCCTGACTGGAGTCGAGATCGCGACTGGCGGCCGCTTGTTGTAGCGCAGTCCCGGACTGTAGCCGCTAACCTACCGATGCGCACTCCATTGATGGTCTGCTCTGCTTATGCCCCCCCTCCGCACCTACTCTCGCCCGCATGCCCGAGTCGGTTGGTTTGGTCGGTGGCAGCCCGCAACTAATCTCGAACCTGGTCATTGGGCCGGGCCCTGAAGCTCTAAGGCATGCGTCTGTGCGTCTGCCAGGCCGCGCCCTGCCTCCCCCCCGCGCGTTCACGCCTACTCCACCTACTCACTGCCTCCTCCTTGCGTGACCGCTTGTGGGGTAAGACAAGATGGAATATGGATTATGTTCGCCCCGCGAATGCCAGTGCTGCGGATGGCGGACGGAGTGGGGCGGCGACAGCAACGACGAGGTCGGTCTAAGTGGTCTAAGTAGTTTACGCGGGGGGGGTGCGACGATAACTGCGCTTCGCGCCGCGTCGCAGTCTGGGCCAAATGGAGCGCGGGAGTGCGAAACCGTCGCACATCAGCGCGCGAAATATGATAACCGGTGTCTCGCGACGCCCACGCAGTCCGCCGTCCGCATCCCCCTCATTTCCCTCGCGCGCCGCAGGCAGCGGCGCCGCGCCCCCGCCGCCCCGCGGCGCGCCCAGCGGCCGCGGCAGCTGCGAGCTGAGCTGCCCCCGCGGCCACGGCGGCGGAGGCCCGTCGGCCCACTAGGCCGCACCCTCGGCCTCTGCCATCGCCGGCGACGCCCAGAAGCGACGGGGGGCAAGGGAGGCGTCGAGGAGGCGTCGTCCAAATAGCAGGGGGGGGATCTATAGAGATCGATGGCGCGCAGGATGTCGAGCCAGAACTCCGTCTCCGAGATGGATCCAGCCGCGGCGACACGGGCCGCCCCCGACGCCCCGTCACGGTTCGTTGCCCCATTGTCCCGCAGTCGCGTTTGGCACTCCCGTTGGCCCAAGTGGCCCGCTCCATCTCCCAGTTGTAGTTGTGCAGATAGAGTTGGAGGTGCGAGCGCGCCGCGGTTCTGAGACTCCGCGTATAAGCATGGCCCCCAGGGCCCCGCCTCCATTCCTCTCCCTCGTCGCCGCCTCTTTCTTTCATCTATTTCAGTCCTCGCCTCGCCACTCATGTTCCCTGCCCCTCGTGGCCCCAGGTAACCTTCGAGGCCCTGTCCTGTCAATCTGCTGTTAATATATATGTATATATATGGCCCCGCGGCCCCGCGACCCCTCTCCGACGTCGGTTCGCGGCCGCCCGCGCTCTGTGCACTTGCCGACCAAAGCTATTTCGGCCTGAACCGAACGATCAGGCCTCGCGCCCCACGAGCCACCCGCTCATCACGAGACTCCCAGATCCGACGACTCGCCATACATCATGTCTGGCGATGGTGTTGATGATAAGCGCCGCCGTCTGAGGTCGAAGACGCCGTCCAGCCCGCCTGATCCTCGCTCGGTCAAGCGCACGCTGGCCGGCACCGACGCTCCCGATCCATGCGACGAGGTGCTTTCCCCAGTCAAGGAGTTCGACGCTGGAGGGCCTGGGTCGAATCAAGCAAAAAAACTCAAGGCTGCAGCAGATGTTCTACAGCAGAAGGCCGAAGATTGGCTGTTTTCGCCAGACACGTCAGTTGAGGAAAAGTTCGGAAAGCATCATGCGGCCAAGATGGTCAAGGTCCTGAGGATGAACTACATGGCGACTTCCTGGGGCCAATGGTGGCCCTGTGGTCCCAGTAGCAGTAGCCTTGTAGTTTCACTTGGACTTGCCACTTGGGGTACTTTTTTTAAACATTCCCATCTCACCCATCTCAGCAATGATTCTTTATTCGCCCCACCCCCCGCGACGGCCGCTGCCTCCCCGTTGCAATTGGCCGTGGCGACCCATGGGCGCAGCGTCCTCCTGGCCACCGTTCCGACCTTTGGGCTTTCGGTTATGGTTTAAATGCTTCAATTTCTGGGGGCGCGTCGGCCACTTGCTACTGGGGGGCCCGGGTGAGCGCGCAACGGCGGACCGATGGCCAATCCATGTTTGTTACTACGGGGCTACTGCTCTTTTCCACATGTGCCCATGTTCTGCCGGGCCCTTTAACCTCCCAGGTGAACCCAGGTGGCCCAGATGACCGCTCCACCCATCCCTGGTACTACACGGACGACGCGGGAGAACGCCGGCGCACGATCCAGAAGCACCCGCATAACCATCGGGATATGGCAGTGAACATTGCCGATATCGCGAAAGGTGCCTGGGAGCGGGCCTGGTGGGATCGGGCGAGGGAGGGGGGGGGGTTAGATCACAGCGCTCGGCAGCGAGGATAATTACAATAGGTGCACTGTCGAATCCATCGCTCCCAGTTGCGCCTCGAGACCAGGAGGACCAGAGATGTCTCGCGTCTCAGGTTTGCATATGTGCTGAGCACGCGTGAATATTACTAAGTGCATACAAGGGCCCAGGGCGGGGCGGGACGGGCATATCCCCAGGGCGCCTCGCTTCCAGGCATCGCTGAACGTGGCCTCGTAGGAGGAGTCGCTGGGGAGCCCTGGTTGCAATGGTCGCAGGGCCCAAACGGCAGCCGATCATATCCCCTGCTCGCTTTCACGTGGGGGAATCGCACGGACGGCATCTACAGGGCCTTCGAAAAGTTTGGTCATGCTTTGCCCGTTCAAGAGCTCCTCAAGGATAGATGGGGCGGTATACATCAGACGGCGGGTTCGGCATGCAGGCGTCACCTTCCTCTGCGGGCGGCCTCGAAGTTTCAGCGGGGACAGTTCCCATCGTGGGTGCGCCAACTCCTTCGCCCCCTCCGCCGAAGCTTCGAGGCCGGGCGGTAACGGCGGCAGACTGCAGACTGACCTTGCCTGCCGTTGCCAGTCCAGTCGTTGTCGGGTCCAGGAGGGCCTCACGGGCATCAGCGAGTTTCACCAGAGGATGCCATTGAACGCTGTCACGGTGCTGCTGCAGGAGCACAACAACCATCACAAGGGTATTGGCGTGACCTTCAAAGATAAAGTGATTGGGCATGCGCCAACAATTCAATTGCCCCAATTTTGCCGTGGCCACGCACAGACGCCAAGGCACCCCGTGGAACGGCAAGCGTGCTCGAATCTGGGAGTTTTACACATAGCCTGTTTGCTTTGTCCAAGCTCGCGGGGCGGCAGGGCCCCATGGGCCCATGGGCTGGTTAGTTTGGTGTGTCTGTGTCTAGGCTCGCGGGGCCTCGTTCGTTCCTCCTCTTGCGTAGGTGATGTCGGTGGGTCCCTGCGCAGCTACCTGGCACAGCGTGAAGACGGTCAGGTCGGACGATCCCAAGTGCTACAAGTGCTGGTGGGAGTGGGTCTGCAAGTCTGACTTGTACTCGAAGGTGTGGGCACCGGAGGAGGACTTCAAAGACTCGAAGGCCTCCTCCTCCATCGCCCTTTCTCCTTTGCCGCCCTCCCATTGTTCCCCTCCCAACGCCGTGGTTCCCCCGCGGGTTTCTGGCGACCGCTCGGGGCGATCCAGGCACCCCCGCAATGCTCTCGACGCGGCGCAGCTGCTGGAAATCTCCGAAAGGTGACGCTGGGGGGGCACGACATTGGACCAATGACCTCGCTCCATATTTGCGACCCGCAGATCGTGTACAACAAGCTGCGCGACCTTGGCGTGTTAGAGGAGGTGACGAGCTTCTGGTCCCAGCGAGTGAGGTTCTCGGATGCAGCGCTGAACCACCGGAGCACCATCATCAATATGAAGTGCGTGTTAGGCCTCATCCATGATTGTACCATTTCGAAGGAGATGATCGCCGTTGTGTGCAAGGAGGCTCTCAAGTTCTGCGTGCCAACCACGACCGACGTCGACTGCGACGACGCGACCGCCACCTCCGCCATTCCGACTATCCCGTGGATCTTTGATAGGTCAGGGGACGAGGTGCAGGATAAGATGAAATGGCTGTTGACGCCAATGGCTGAAACAAAAACCTTCAAGAAGCTCGCCGCCATCAAACACTCGCTGAGCTCGAAGGCAGGCGCCGACAAGCAGGCAGAGTTGGAGGAGAAGCGCGTCGCTGCAGCGGAGGCAGAGGAAGAGGTGGAAGCACTCAAGGTATCGAAACACAAAAAAGCTTTGCCCAAGGCGAAGGCCACGGCGAAGAGGCTTGCAAAGGAGTACGAGAAGCTCAAGGAGAAGCTCGAGGAGGCGACCACGAGCCCAGAACTGGCAGGCTACACCCCGACGGTCGTGGCCTCGAAGCGCATCCAGAAAGGCACTGGCAGGCGGTCGACCAACGTTCTTGAGGACCATTGCTTCAATGTTGACGCAACCCTGAAGATCGTCGGCACAGATGGAGTTCCTCCGGCCCACGTGCAAATGCTCAGAGATCTCACCACGCATGTGTTTCTTGTCTTCTTGTGGCAGAAGACCGTGACCTACCGCGGCAAGGCGGTGGCGAAGTGCCCGCGGCCCGGAGACCGAAACAGCATGACAGGGCAAGGCCCAAAGCTCAGGCGTGCAGCGTCGCATCAACATTGGCACTGTTGACTGTTGACCCGTATGTTTGTCACTAGTTCGGCCAGGGTCGTGCAAGGCGGGAGGGG